GAGAGATGGTGTGGCAGCATAATAATGGCCTGAATTTGCTCTCCTACGAAATTTCTAACGATGATGTTGGTTGTCGATTTTGAAACTCCATTGTTGCAGCTTGAGATCGACAATAATAGCTTTTGGTAATCATCGTCCTTATTACCATTTTGCTCACCATTCAGGCTATGTTTCACGTTTTCTGAAGAGACTTCAATGAAACCTCTCTTTTGAATTCAAATCTCTTTAAATACAAGTTTAAAATAAAAACCTCTCATCTTTAAGATACCCTCTTACGGATGATTTATACTTTTAATTTATACTAATAAAATAAGGGCACGATAGCTGGTTGAATTCCAATCAATATTGATAAGCTAATCACATAGATTGGCTACCTCATTAAAAACTTTAGATGACAAGATGATTTTGATTGGAATACTAGAAACCGCAAACCAAGACGATTTTAATTTGATCAAAGAGGCTTATAAGGAGGGGACCCATCTTTCTGCGACCGAATCAACCTCCCGGAAGTGCCAAAATCTCTTATAGATTACTTTAATAGCTTCCTCACAAGAACCCATAAAGAAATAAATTTACCTCTTGGGATCGAGCGACACAGGCTTGGGGTCTTAGTCCAAGTCTTATCAACCTATTCCTAGAACATTTGTACTTCAAAAAATCTCTCATTGAAAGTCACGATCACAGCTGGTTGAATTATCTTTTTCTCATTCTTTAGTGATATATTCTCGAAATAAAATAGTGGGGTTCCTATGGAGATGAGAACTCGAAGGATAATGTAACGCCGCAACATAAGAAGCATCGCCTTTCTCCACCATCTTCTTAAAATGCACCTTTCTTACCTCTTCATCATTCTACCGTCCAATTGCCACCATCACCACGCCACCACTTCCTAGTCCCAACTATTTGATGGATATCAGATACTTGTGAGTTTTCAAATTTATTATTCATATGCATGTGAGATGACACATGCAATGTTTTCTTCTATACGAATGGCCATCAAAAGATCGTTGAAAAATTTGGGGTACAAGTGGTAAGACCTTCACCAGTTATCACTATTTGGGCGTATTTTTTTTTGTGGAAGCCGCGTGTACCGAAATGACGACTTCGACAATTGTAGTACCTCTCACATTTGTTTTAAGGAAGTTTGATATTGTTTTGGAAAACGTTACTTCTAGGGAGTTCCAAACAACGTCAATCTGTTGTGTTTTGTGGAAGCCAATGCTTCACCAACCCATGTAAGTAGCAACTTCCATATTGCTTGGAATAGGTATTTGGCAATCCCCTATTATACAAAACAAATACACCCTAAATGCAAATTAAACATATTAACTGCACACTCCTTTTATTGTGTCGAGAACTAGAGAGGTCTATTCCCATCCGTCAACAAAGAGAGTCCAACGATGGAGTAAATCGTTGCTAGAATACTCAATCCACTAGGACACTGATGTTATTCACTTTTTTTTATTTTCCTTTTTCTTTTTTGATCTTTTTTAGTGTTTTGCTACACTCAAGCGCTGGATGAGTTGCCTGGTTAGAATCGAGATCAGTGGGTGGGCAACTTGGTTTTTTTGCTAGTCTATAATTACATGATTTGATATATTTTTATTTATTTATTTTATTTGATTCCCTACCAAACTTTCGATTTGGATTGACCATAGATTTGACAAGGATTATACACTAATAATATAAATGTCTTAAAAATATGTATAGTGATGATGATGCTTTGGAGGCCAAATCGTAGACTTGAATGACATCTATTAGACAGTCCATCGGGGGATGAAGGGTACATGTGAACATTTCAAAAACCACAAGCATGGAGTACAATTTTTAGAAACTACATATTTTATGGTGAAAGGTTTTCATGAGCAATTATTCATGGTTTTCTTTTACAATGAAATCATCATAATTAATTGTCAAAGTCTTACTATTTGTAGCCCAAAATACATGGCTTTCATTTTTTTAGTACAAGGTAAGTGAATAAATAAAGTAAAACGTTGCATGTCAACTCTTCATCGCCTCCACAAGAAAAAAAAAGAAAAGAAAATAATAAAAATATTTAACAATAAATTTATTTGTGTAAATTTTGATAAATTATATGATAACATGCATCTACATATATGTGGTAGAATCTCATGAGTACTATATTATTAGTGGCATAAATTGTAATTCTGACCTAAATTTGCAGTGTTACAGCCTTAATGCTACAGATGGCTAGTCCACGAGTTAGAGTCCAATTACACGTATGTTCGTTCAACTCGATCGATTAGGAGATACAACTGTCCAAAAACAAATAAAACAAATATCCCTTATGTAACCAACCATTGCATTAAAATGGGAAGGCCAGATGGAAGATTGCAAATGACAAATGTGAAGTGTATTTGCATTAATGCATAGTTCAAATTTAACTGTAAATGGCAATGAGAAATTGAAGTGCTAAAAATATATTTAAAAGTGTAATTGTAGAGAGAAGAAGCATAATAAAAATATGATATTCTAGAAAAGTCACCAAGTGCACTAAAAAGCAATTATCTTATGAGCAGTTGAGATCAGATAAGCCACCAAATAAATATGAGCTCAATTTAGTATTTTGCTATAGGTCAACAACTTTCTTTTCGTATCTATCTAGTACATGAACTTAGTGTTTTAAAGCCCTGTGATTTTTGTTTCAAATCGCCGATCATGATATAAATTGTTTGGATTGAACGAATTTCGAGATGGTATGGGTCTTAGCACAGTTCCCCCATAAAGCCCCGCCCATAGATTTCCCTCTTTTTCTCTCTCTCTCTCTCTCTTTAAATTTTATTTTTTAAAGCTCATCTATTATTTTATTAGGTCATCTATGAATCCCTACTTCGTAATTTTAATATTTATTTATTTAAATTTTTTTTAGATCTCAAATTTGGACCGATCCAGACCCAATATGGATCATCGATCTAGCGAGCCGACATAGATCTGTTGGTGAACAATTTGCCCCACCAATCCGGGTTTTGAAACACTTTGTGAAATGCTATAACTTATTTCTTAATCTTTTCTCTTTGTGGTACGACATTATAAAATTGGAAAGTTGTATCTATAGAAAACTGGAGGCTTCTTTCTCGTTTACTTTGCTCTAAATGGTTTCACATTTACATAATCCATGAATTACTTCAGGTTAGTTCTTTGAATATTGCTCTTTATTTTTACATATTGGATATTACTCACATTCATTATATGGGGGTCGTCACTTGGTGTGACGGTAAAATGCTCGGGTAGCCAGTGCAAGAGCACGAGTTTGAGTCATGAGAGCGGCCACTTTGTGCATAAAAAGCCAAAGGTTAGGACCGTCTCCAGCTCACCCCTCCCGAAACTTTGTGTAGATAGTACTAGCACCGGGTTACGGCCCTTTTTTACTCGCTTTTATTATATCATATAAAAAAAACGAAGAAGAGGAGAGTGACTTTAAAATTTGTTCACTTGATAATAGAAAATATCATTAATAACATAGAATAATGAATGAGCATGATTAATGTAGATGTTTTAAAATAATTGGAATAATGCTTGAATGATGATGATGAATTTATCAACATCAAAATTTCGAAAAATAATATCTTGGAGTGCAAATAGGAGTGGGAAGAAGGAAAGCTTTATTATTTAGTTAGATTTTTTTTTTCTTTTATTTTGTGAAATTCTTATAATAATATTTAGTAGCATTTTTACATGCTAATTTATAGTGAACTAGGACATTGGATGTCTGAATGGACTAACTTGTCAAAAAAGAAGAAGAATAACTTGGTGAACATATTGCATCAGAATTAGTCTTTATTCGAAAAAACGTCCCAATTCACTACTCTTTTTTTATGAGTAAACAACCAATCAAACATTAGATATCAGAGCTTGGGAAAAAGACTAGCCAAGACATGTGAATTCTCACTTAAAAAAAAAGCCCCACTTCAGACATAAGATACCTAATATGGAAGTAATTTGGAAAATAAAAAATATAAAAAACTAAAAATATAATTTGTTAAATTGAAAATCAAAAGTAAAACATTTTTTTCAAAATGAAAATAATATGAGAATTTTCCCCAAATTTTCATTTTTAATAATGGATATATTTTTATTTTCGATTTTGTTTTATTATATAAAGTTTAGGTTCTAGACCCTTCTTCCCTCGTAAAGTTTATTCTCTCCCCTCTCTCTCCTCCCCACTTATGTTTCGTTCCTCTCTAATCCCTCCTCCACCCTCTCTCATAAAAAGTTTATATTAAGGTGATGCCCTAAACAATTAAACTAAGATGAGCCCCAAAAATTCATTAGAAGAGGTCGTTTCGATGCTAACGAATCTTCAAATTGATCATTTCAACCTTAAGGTATATAAAAATGAAAAAAATAGATTTCAAATATTGGAAATACTGTATCTTGTATTGCATTTTCTAAACTGTCGATAATGAAGATTTTCAAGTGTTTTAAAATATACTAAATCTACACTTTAAATTTTAAAATTAGACATGAAAATGATTTATTAGGAGATGAAAATAATTTCTTAGGCCATCATAAAGATTTTTAGTATCTAAATAATAGTATGAAGTTTCTATAAAGGTTCACGCTTTATGCAAACAAAATAAAGCCTCACCGCAAATCCTTGTCCAGAAAGTACTGTTGACAAAAAAAAATATTGATGATAGTTTCAAAATCAAATTTCAATACCAAAAATAAAATTTCAAACTAAAAAAATAGTACAAATCCGCAAGATCTGTGAACACTTATTTTATGAGTGAAATGGATGGTCTAGATAATTTGTTAAATACATACTACTTTTAAATTTTGAAATCTTAATTTTTTTTCCCAACCATAATCTTCAATTCGAGATGATCGATTTAAGGATTTTTCAATACTTGCGTTATAATTTTGGATAAATTGTAATGTGAGGCTTTTACTTATCAAACTATTTTCCGGAATAATATAAGGTCTACCTTAATTGTTTAGGGCTTCAGCCTTATATAAACCACGCCCCCTCACTAGAAGCCCCTCCTCTCTCTTTCTCCGTCCTATAAAATGATGCCCTAACTGGCCAAACCCTAATTCGCACCCTCTCTATGTGCTGTCATCTCTCGCTCTCTTTCTCTCTCTCTGCCCTAGAGCCCCAGATCTCGCTCTCTCTCTAGACCCGTTCTGCTCCATAACCTCATCCCTTCTCTCTCTACAGTCTCAGAGGAAGCAAGCAATGGGGAAGAAGCGAAAGACCGAGATCAAAACCGAGGTCGAGGTGGAGGTCGAGGCCGAGGCCGAGGCCAACAACGACGAAGCCATGTTCGATGAAGAGATCGAAGGCCAGCAACAAGAGCCGGAGAACCAGAACGAGGAGGCACCAGAAGAACCAGCAAACATAAACAATCATGAAGAGGAGGAGGAAGAAGAGGAGGAAACCGATTCCGAGTCCCTCACCAGGCTCCTCGAACCCTTCTCGAAAGACCAGCTCATCGAGCTCCTCCGCCAAGCTGCTCTCCAGCATTCCGACGTCTTTGATTCGATCAACAAAGTTGCGGATGTTGATCCCGCTCACAGGAAGATATTTGTTCACGGCCTTGGATGGGACACTACCGCTGAAATCCTGATTTCCACCTTCAAGAAGTACGGAGAAATTGAGGATTGCAACGCAGTTGCAGACAAGCACTCTGGTAAATCGAAGGGCTATGGTTTCATTCTCTTCAAGCATCGATCTGGAGCTCGAAAAGCCCTTAAGCAGCCACAGAAGAGGATTGGTAATCGAATGACTGCTTGTCAACTGGCCTCTGCTGGTCCGGTTCCTCAACAACCCCCTGTCTCTGAATATACGATGCGAAAAATCTATGTAAGCAATGTGTCTTCTGATATTGATCCTCAAAGGCTTTATACCTTCTTCTCAAAGTATGGAGAGATCGAAGAAGGCCCGTTAGGGTTGGATAAGCAAACTGGTAAGCCAAGGGGGTTCAGTCTCTTTGTCTACAAATCCCTGGAAAGCGCGAGAAAAGCCCTAGAAGACCCACATAAGAACTTTGAAGGCCACATTCTCCACTGCCAAAAGGCCATCGATGGGCCGAAGCCAAACAAACCAACCCACCACGCAGGTCAAGCCCACCATCACCCCCACCACCAAAACCAACATCATAACCCACACTATCCCCAACACCACGCCGATAACATGCAGATGATGAACCAAGTACCAGCTCACGGTGCAAGCCATGGTGGGCTCATGGCACCAAGCCAAGGCTCGATGCCATTTAACCAGGCAGCTGGTGGCCTCAACCCAGCTCTGGGTCAAGCCCTAAATGCCCTGTTAGCCTCACAAGGTGCAGGGTTTGGGCTCCAAAATGTTCTTGCTAGTCTTAACCCAATGGCTGCTGCTGCCGCATTGAACCAAACTGGGTTGTCACCCAATGTGAACCAAAGTGTTCCGGCTGCTGGTTCGATGGTGAACAATGCAAGCCATGGGGCTGGAATGGGGGGATATGGGGGTCAGGGTGGCATGGGCAGTGGGAATATGATGGGTGGCTATGGGTCTCAGGGAGCAGTTCAAGGGGTCGGCGTTGGTGGGTATCAGAATGCTCAGATGGGTCAGCCAGGTTCTGGAGTGAGGGCTCAGCAGGGAGTCGGAGCGATGGGGGGTGTTACGCCTTATATTGGTCATTAGGTAATCAATTGTCAATGTCCTCCTTCTTAGCAATGATATGCTTAATGCTATTTTCTTTTTTCTTTTTTATTTTTTAAATACCTCTAGGTGTATAATTGTTATTTCTTCTAGCTTGATTGTATTGCTAGGATTTGCTTTCACTGTTGTTATGGATCATTAGGTAATGCATGGTTAATTCTTTTTTTCTTTGTTAAGTAACTGCTTGGATACTATATTTTTGTACATGAAGGTATGGGATCCTTGTGTTTAAACTCTGCTGTTGCCATTTCTGTTTCTAAATTTTATTTATTGGTGCATTTCATATACTAGTGTTGTTACAGTTCAATAAAGATATGTGTCCTTTTCTAATATCTGAATGGTTAACTGCCCATATTGAGCATGTAATGGAAATATGAAAGTATAGAAGCCATGTTCTTGGGCCTCCCATTATAACTGTTGATTATTGCTTGCGTGCATTAGTATGTTTTGTTTCATTATAACTGTTGATTATTGCTTGCGTGCATTAGTATGTTTTGTTTCTTTCTTTGTTATAGATCCATAGGTGTAAGTGGTCAATATCTTTTTCTGTGATAACTGCATGGTCAACTGCCTTTTTTTGCAGTATTTAACAGGCATGGAGGCCCTTGGGCTGAGTGCATCTGTTATTATTGTTGCTTTGTTGCTCACCAGCGTATATTATACTCTATGTTTTGTGTCATTTTGGGCCATCAGGTAAGAAGTGGTGGTTAATGCTGTCTTTTGATAGTTAGATGAAAGATTCCTTCTTGAGTATTTTAGTTCACAGAATGACTAATGTTGTTGTCGTTTTTGCTACATTGTTAGTGTAATTACCTAGGTTTGAAAATTTGCTCGGGCTGCCTGAGCCAAGTAACTGAAACGAGTCATTCTCAAAAAAACTCGAGCAAGTCAGAATGGAATCACCCGAGTAGTGTACAGCCCAAAAAAGGTTTTAAAAATAAAAAATGCTAAAAAATTTAAAATATAAAAGAAAGGTAAGAAGCCGAGTAAACTATAGACAACATTAGAAGCAAAAAACAGGGATAAAATATAAACGTGGATACTGGAAAATGTAAAAAATTGATTTATAGCTGGAAACAATTAAAAAATAAAAAAGCAAAAATAGAAAATACTGCAAATGATAAGAAAAACTCGCAAATCATCATAATAAACATCAAAATTATATATGAAATGTTCATTCTCACAACATTATATATAAAATATTAATTCATTTATTTAATAAAAAGTATAATTTGAATTAATTTTACCAGATTTTTTATATAATCTGAGATTGTACCTTGGGGCTCGGCTCGGCAAGGTGTCGAGTCTGAGTAACTTGGGTGAGTACGAATCGACTTGGTCAAGTTTTGGAACTCTGGTCATTACTTCTATTCTTAGTGCTATTATTCACATGGCTCATTAATATTTTTATTCCTTCTTCTTTGCAGTGTTTAGTTGCAATACCATGATGGATTTATAGGAGTCATGCAATAATTTGGAAAAAGTTCCAGGAGTCTCATTTGTAATCGTTGCTAATTGCTACTGTTATATTTGAGTTTGCTGATAACTTTTGTTTAGCTCATTTGCTATGAATGATTGTTGTCCTTTTGCAATTAGTGGCAGGGTGAAGTTTTTGAAGCTACAAGTTTAACCACTGCTAGTATTGTGAATGTTCTGTTGGCTAACTTGATAATAATATTGCGTCTATTATACTCTTTGTATTAGTGGTTATATACGTGGTCATTAAGTTAAGGACCAGCTATTTCCTATTCCCAGTATATCTAAATGAATATTTGAAAGCATATGTTTGAATGTGTTATTGTTGTAATCATACTCATACTCATACTTTTCTATTGTTGTTACTTCTATTCAGAACTTTATAGTTTTGTTACTTATGACTCTTATGTTTCTAACTGTAATGGTATTTTTGATGGTCTCTGTCAGTCTGTCAGAAACATAGGCTCATCATACTATTCGAGTCCATGTCCTTTGTTATTATTGTATCCCTGGCCATATTTGAGATGTTCTCTTCACTGTATGAACACTATAGCTTGTGTGGAGGCCCTAAGTTTTGGCTCCTCCTTGACTAGCCCAACAAATACCTTATTCATATCAGTTGATTTGTATCCAAAAATACCCCCCACCATGATGTCTTTGGGATTTGGCGTGCATCATGTGCTGGAATACACATTCAAGGTTTAAATCCCTTCTTTAGAGAGGAGGCAGGCTCCAAGCACTGAAGGCAACTCCCTGGAAGAATACCATGAGCTATGATTCTTGTGACCAAGTCTGCTCTCTTATCCTTGGAACTTAGAGTGCGTGTCTAAACCGATTTCAAGTCGAAAAAGTCCATAACATATGTTGTTCTTTTCATTACTTTTGCCTTGAGGATGCTAAAGACAATTTCCATATTTTTGTTCAAAGGGGCCAAATGTTGGTCACCTTTTCCGACATAACCCAACAGACACCAAATATGTACAGGAAGATTCTTACGTTGTCTTGGAGATGGGGCAATGCAGCATGAGGTTATCCATAGCATCTTTCACATCACTGCATGGATTGTAGTTATGGTTTATTGCTTGCTTGCTTTATTGGATACTCGAGTTGCTTTAGTAATTTTGTCTGCTCATTGTACTCTCTGCAGCTACGCACAATTGAAATGAGGGGAATCTTGTCAATACTATCTTTAATTGGAAAGTAACTGTGGCCTTAGAGTGTATTTTTTTCATGTTAGACATTTTCGTAGTTTCATATTGTTTTTTCTTACAAACAATATGCGTGAATGGTGGTATTTTGATGTACAAATACCAAAAATACTTTTGAATACGATGTTTATGCTGAATTGAGTGACAGAAGTCCTCTTTGCTCCATCAAACTATTTTGCTTGATTGCACTTGTTTGCTCTCAGACCTTATCTGCTTTCCTGAATCTCATTTTAGTCTGCATATTTTTATCTCATGCATGGAGATTGAATAATTATTCGTTTTGTTCTGCAAGTTTGTGGAGCTTACTTGCGGTCAAACTTTATACTGCTTCAAAGTTGGCAACTCTGGCAAGTGGTCACAGTTGTATAGAATTATTTTGCAATGGAAGTGATTTTTTTTCTCTACTACACTCATTCAATTCTTGAACTGCTAACTTTTCTTTGTAATGTATTTGATTTGTAATGGCCATCCTATGTTTTGAAAACATGAAAAGCAGTCATTTATGAAAATTGCTATTTTATGGTTTCCTATTCATTTTGCAGATTCATATTAGGTGAACTGGACTGCCAAGCTCTGGAAAGATGTTTCTTCTTATACATACTGTTCCCTCATTGTGCAAATGAGGTCTTCATACTTTGATATGAAGTGCAACTATTTGGATTCTATATCGAGTCTGGAGTTGTAGTAGTCAAAAGTTTTAATCTTGAGTTTGGTTTCTTAAACCTTTGAGTAGTTTCAGTATGCGTAACTCCATAGAGGAGTCCCGAGAAAACCTTTTATCCCTATTTGAGCAAGTATTTGACTTTGCAGTTGAAGACTTTATGTATTTCGTAAATTTGACAATTTCCAGTCTTCTAACTTTTGTGAATTTCTTGTAAGCCTCTTTCCATAGATAAAGTAGCTATTTTCTATATGTATTCTTTTGCTGTGGGTGTTTTTCCTTGCTATTCTTTTATTATTTGCTTTGTAGTTATTTGTGTTTGACAAATCAATTAATGCCTTCTTGATAAATGCTGCTATTGGTTGGTGAAATAAATACTTTTCCATGTAATGGTAGTTCTTGGGGTATGACTTTGTTTTTCATTTGCTTGTCTGGTAGCCTGCTCAATTTCGTCTTGTGCAGCGGGCTATTATGATCTGTGGAAGGTTAATTTGCTTTTTTTTTTTTGTCATGGAAATTTAGGTGTTATTTGTTCTTCACTTTGGTAGTTGCTTTCTGAATGTGGATTTTGACAAGGGAAATTATTTAAATTCGTTTATCTAATTCTCTAACAGAGTTCCTTGAAAGATGTTTTGTTGTTCTTCCTCTTTGAGGGTACTGCGGTCTTTACAAATTTAGGGATACTGCTACTATATTTGGATGTTCCCCTTAAATCAGTTGATTTTATTTTTATTTTTTTGTTCCCTAAATCGCGTGAATTAATCTTTTCCTTTTGTCCTATTGTGTCAATGTGTGTTAGTCGTTTTGGAGTGGAAGTAGACTCTGTAGTTAAGGAAATTGTTTCATCTTTTGAAAGTAGGTTATAGTAGTTGAATATGGCTGCTAAAAAGTTTTCACTATTGAGGCTTTTATACTTCTAGGGAAATCTGTTTAAAAATAATCATAAAAAAGTGCTTTATATTTTGATATTTTGCTAGAGGGTCTTTTGCCCTTCCTTATCAACAAGTTACATAGCGTGAAGGAATTTCTATCAGCTAGTAACCGGATTTAGGCCTTTTAGTCCAACAAAATATTTTCAAAAGAGGACATTTTTTCTGCCCTTGAGCAGACTGCTGCATTGGTTGACCTTCCCCCATTTTGGGGGCTTTAGGGGCATTTGTTTTGCGCCAAACTTTGCAAACATATCCTCTTGTTCCTGATGAACAAGTTCATGAAAAAGGATATCTGAAATAAAACCTAGAAAATAGTCTTCTTCATTGGCGGTTGGATCTATCCCTTTAAGAACCAAAAAATCATGCTCTTAGTTCATCTGTTGATGATGAGATGGCAATCCACATAATTTGAGGTTAAACAAACCCTCTAGAGCTTGATCTAACTCCACTTTTCTTTCTTAAAACCAAAGGCCTGTATCTACTGTATTTTATCTTATAGGTAAACCATTTTCAGGTTTTCTTACAATGTTTTCAAGGATATTCTTCCTTGGGCAATCTTCTTGTTGGTGTCCAACGTGTGTCTAGTTCTTCATTTGAAAAGCTAGACATGGGATGACATGCTTGTACAGAAAAAGAATATATATTAAAAATATGGTAAAACAATAAAATTTGCATAACTCTAGTGTAACCCACTTCGGTTTTTAGTGGTAAAGCATACTTTAAATCCTCAGTCAGCCTGAGTTTGAGCCTCAAGGATTGAGCTTTATCTTATAATGAAATAATGATTTTGAAGAGAATGTAATTGAAGATTGTTATAGAATACACCGAACACAGTCAATTTCACGGTGTTAGACTTTACAAATCTTGTATTAAAGGTCATAGGTTTTAATCTTTGCCTCTTTTAGAACCTTTTTGTTGCCACACGTGCATGGGTGTGTCGACATGTGTCAACACGCAGATTAAGTGGTAATGCCATGTGTCGAGGTGACAATCACCAGGATCAAGGGTATGTGTGTAACAAATTTGACCCTTGGGTGGACTTGATGTTTTCAAAGATATTGTTTATTTAATCTGAGAAAAAAAAATGTTATTAAGGTATGAGGGAACCTGAGAACCTGAATATCTGCCTTGCAATTCCAGCATTTGAAATATTATTTGTCAGAGGGTGAGACAAAAGTCATGTGGAGTTTTTTGCGATCTTCTAGGGCTCCTTGTGTGATTTTTTATTTGAGAGAGTTTACTTTGGGGTTCTTCAGAAATCAATTATGCATCTTTAATGGAGATTCCTCTTTTGGTAGTTGGTTGTGTTCTTCTAGAAAGCAAAGAGAAAAATTTTCTATTCATTATGTTGTGCAGCTGAGTTCAGAAATCAATTATGCATATTATAGTTTGACAATATGGGAGTTGGTTTCTTGATGTCTGAATCATGATATGAATGTTTAAGAAATTATAATGCCTCCTTGAAATTAAAAGTTTCTAACACTTCTATTTTGAATTTCTGAATGATTTCATGAAGCACTCGAGTAAAAAGGACCTTACTATTACTATCATTATTATTTTTATTATTATATATTTTTGTACGTACTCTTGAAATTTTTGGTTTTTATCGAAAGTGACTGGTTTCAACATTTTATGCCATTTGATGATGTTTTGGAAAGACCTTGTGGATTGGGGCTTTTATTGATTTTCATTCAATGCAACAAAGTTGTGTGGATCTCCCGCCGATTTCTTGAGTAAAATCAATTCACTGGAGAGTATTCTTTAGAAAAAAATCAGCTCACTGGAAAATAGATTATTTGGGGTGCTGCCATTTAATGTGTGTGACATGGTGTCTTGAGCAAAAAGTTGCATTCTTTTGGCAGTTCGCTATTGGTCCCTGAATCTTTGAAACTATCTGCAAAAACTGAAGAGATTGTTGAAAGGAAATTCAAAAGTGCATACTTGAGAACATATTTGAATCCTGTTGCCTGTATTGGTAAAAAATGATGAAGATTTCTGTTGAAAGGCCAATTAAGGTCGGAAGTCATGTATTTTTCAAGGGACATGGGATTTATGTGAAGATTTCTACTGGATTATTGGCCAAAGTTATGGGATTCAGAAACACTCCTTTCTAAGGAATAGGCATAGTTTGCAATGTTGGGTTTTGTTGAAGAAAGTTTTTCGCATAAATGTGTTTCTACAATTTATGCAAATCTTATGAAAGAATGATGTTTCTGCCACATCATTGTCAAGCTTATAAATGTGTTATGGTTCTTAAAAGGTTAAACTAGCAGTAGCTACTTTTCAATTGGTTTTCTGTCGGGATCAGGGATCAGGGGCCAATTATTTTCATTAATGACCAGCGCAACTGTTTCTAAAACTTAATTTTATACTCGTTTGATTGAAACAGCTACCGTCTAGTTGGGCTTTAGAAGTTGGTAGTAAGAGTTAAATTGAGCGATTTGGTTTTTTCAGAAAGCCAATTTGATTAGGCAACACAAAAGGAAATAGTCTTGAAAAATATTTGATCTTGGTGAACCTTCCAAAAAAAAAGCAAAATCTAATATTGGTGGTAAATAGATTTTTGTCATTATTGTTGGACAGTTTGCTGTTCCACCTGCAAATTGGAGTAACTATGGCACCCCAGATGTTATGGCTTTATAAGAAAATACTGCTTGGTTTCAATGAGCATGTGGGGGAATTTCTCATACAACTGCGTAGTTTTATTGCTTCGTTGATAAGCATTTCACTGCAGAGGGCAGAGGATGGTTATGGATCTGAGGTCCCTGTTGAAGATCATATCTTGGTTGAGTAAGGTACGTAACTGATTGTAGATACTACAAACTAATATTTTATAAATATTGGCCATAAAGTACGTGTTAATAACTGGTAAATGTTAGTATTTAAGTGGTAGTTAATTTATAGTTAATAAAGGATCTTCACTATTTTCTACTTCCCAAAGGGGTTTTATGTCATTTGTCAAAGGAACTTCTATCCAAGTCATTTTCATATCATTACAGAGTTTTGTTTGGGACGGTATTTGAGGAATGAGGTTTCTGAACTTGGTTTGAGTTTTTGAGAGATATTTCTTGATTACAACTGAAACTCGTATTCGAACTTCACATCGGTTCCTTCTCTTAACAATTTTCTTACCCTTATTTGGAGCGGTGTCGATGTCACAATCTTCAGAGAATTGGAACCTGTCTTCTGGATAGTTTGATATAGTATGAATGACCAATTACTGATTTGGAATATTTGCAAAGCTGGGCAAGTTTTTGTGAGTTTGAAATGGCGGTTTTGAGGAATTGGTTCCCAGTCTTTGCGGATATGGTGTTCCAAGGATTTGATTCTGGTTTGGCATTTTTGAAAGCTGGATATGTTCTTATGAGTGGGAAAAATATTATTTTCAATTGACAAGACAGGTCTCGAATGATCAATTGCTGATTCTAAAATCGGTCATTTGTGCATTGTATTTTAGGCAACCCAAATCTTTATATTTTGTGGCCTTTAACATGTGTTGGACAACACATCTTTGGTGAGAGATACATGACATGAATAAGCTTCTCTTTTTGTTTGTGGAGCATTATTTGGTAGAGGAAGCTAGATGATCTGATCAAGTCACCAATGGTTCTTCGTAACTGCGTCGAAGCGGAACTGCTATCTGTCGACATCTGATGTGGGTGGTCCAAGGTAATGATCTTCTGTAGTATACTTGCTTCTAGTTACTCTTATCGTTTTTTTTTTTTGAATCTGCACATTCTTTTCCAAAGTCGTCGGTGTTGTACAGGTTTTGAACCAAAATTTGTGTCTTTGTAGGTTATATTAATTCTTATCCTGAACCTTTTTTGTCCATGTGGTTTCTCCGGCGAACTTTCTAGTACTTGTACTGCATCAAGTAATTAAGAATATTTCCTATGCATTGTAGGAAAATCATACTCCAATTTAGGGTCATAACTGTCTCCGGCTAACTTTCTAATACTTGTACTGCATCAAGTAATTGTTGAATATCCCTATGCACTGTAGGAAAATCATACTCCAATGTAGGGTCATAACTGTCCATTGGAATAACGGGTAGTGATAGGAACAGGGGCCTACCAGAAATGGATGTGTCCACAATATTGGATGTCATGCTCTCCATTACTGTTCTTTTCATTGGAGGGTGATGACTCCAATTGGGTAATCCTGTGTTATAGGCCAGTGGAATATAATATATATTGAGTTTTACACAATATAATGCTGTTCTGGTAATGGGATTCACCTGTTACGTCACTATCTGTCATTCATTGGATGGTGATGATCCTACTAAATTTATTTCTCAAGTCCAAAAGGCCAAACCATAGTCCTCTCGATCACAGTGAACATCACCTTTTATTACCAAAGCTTCAGTTTGCATCCTTCCCTTATCCTTTGTTCCTGAAAATGTTGAAAATACATTTTTTTGAGATTTGGAATTTCAAACATTTCCTCCACCTTTTATTACCAAAGCTTCAGTTTGCTTCCTTCCCTTATCCTTTGTTCCTGAAAATGTTGAAAATACATTTTTGAGATTTGGAATTTCAAACATTTCCTCGTTCAACAGTTCAGTGTCTTGGTTTTCTTCCACTCCGTTGAAGGTCTTCTTCTTCACAGCTTCAAAGAAGAGATTGTCGAGTCGGTAGTGTCGTTTTCTGTATGTTTTTTAGATAAATTATGTCATCATTTTCATTCTTGAGGAACTCTGGCCTTGAGTGTTCATTATTGGGTCCTTACCTGTCTGATTAGAAAATGCATAATAACATGACTCAGTCCAGGTCCTCCTGATTTTGTTTCTTTTAATTTGCCTGGTATGTTATTCTATTATTCTAAGCAATAAATTGGTTTTGTGTGTGTCAAAACCAATGCCTAGGAGATATTTGGCTGGCACCTTGGGCTGCTTGTTTGAATCTCATGCTTAGAAATAGAATGCTGTAGGCTTTTAGTGGAATGAGGTGATATAAACCGACAGGCTTATATGGTTTCATAAGCCACTTTGAAAAGTAGGGTTTCTATAGACAAATAGACCCCAAAATTTGTGCACATGTAGATCCCATCTTGGCTGTCAAAATATAGGAGGAATTGAATTTGCACGAAGCAAGGGGAGAAAAGAGGTTAATGGTGAATCTAGGTGTTCAAGAGCTCTAAATCAAATTCTGTTAATTTTGTTGAGTTCACACTCTTTCAGCCCCAAAAAAAGAAAAAATTTCCCTCTAGCTATTTCCAGACATGTGTCCATATAAGTAGAACATGTACATGTCTATATGCTTACATATAACTGAAAGATTATAAATACATCACCGTATCAGTTTTTTATTTGGGATTTTCAGTTTTGTAATGCTCGTATGTTGTTGATGCAGTGTCATGGGTACCATTCAATTGAGTAATTTTGTGTTTATAGTTGATTTATTGCAGTAATGAATGGGTGGTCTACTATTCGTTGATATTGATGACTAAAGGTTTTGTGTATGTGGAATTTTTCTTCTCTCATTGATACTTAAATCTTTGGAAATAGTCCACTGGATTCAATTTTGTTGATGTATTATGTGAATTTTGAGTTTATGGTGTATGAGTTGGATCCATTTTTACTTAAATCAGTAATCTGTTTGGTTGAGTGGCTAAAACTTTGTAATTTTGGAGAAGTGGAAAACAACTATTTTAAATCCCTCCCTCAATTTAATTAAGGGTGCGGTTTTGGCGTGGCAAAAGGTCTACTGTATTTTGTAGGGTCTCACTTCAGAACTCCTAATTGGAAAATGCAGTTGTTGGATCATATTTATCCCTATTTCCATATCTATCCTCGTGATGATGGAATTGGACCTTCAAAAATGGTGCGGATATGTTGGATCTGGAGTACTTAAAAATGTAATGTGTAAAAAGGAAGTTACAACATCAATCATAAGTTAAAATCTATTGATCAATGAATGTTGAGATCGAGGTGATTGGAGTAATAGAAATAGGTGGCATTATAAACCTATGTTGCTATTAATATTTGGGTCATTTTATTTTGATCCAAAATGGCTTGCGATGCTTGTGTCCTTGAATAGAGTTGTCATCATTTGAGCCTTATACCAACTACTGAGCCTTATACCAACTACTGCGGGTTTGTTACACGATTCCACCTCCATTTTGTACCGGCCCATACCCTTAGTCACTTGTCCGTAGAACAAAACCGACCCATACCCTTAGTCACTCGGCTGTAGAACAAAATGTCATCTGAAAATCCTATTTCATTGTGATAAATTTTAGACCCAAACTGATGTAATGCACCGGTGAATTCCGTCATCCGAAATGCTTCTGGACTTTGGTAGGCTTCCACCTCGGCTGTCTAAAATATAATATTTTGTGAAAGAGAAGTTATTGCATCTGAAGGTTCCAAATCAAGTATTTATCTGATCCAAGAACTGCCAGCAATGGTTTTAGTAACTCAATTACTCATGAACATGTCAAAATTATGAAGACGAGAGGACTTAGTTTTGCAGTCTAAACAAACACATCTCCAAAAAGGAAAAGCGAAAAAAGAAAATGGAGAAAGTGATTGGGTAGCCTTTCAGTGTTTGGGTAGTGCTTATTTTAATTAAAAAAGTGATTTAATTTAAGTGCTATAGCAAAGGCCCTCTTATAACTCCATTGCTTGTTCTCTCTCTCTCCCTTATATACCTCATAAATCAAGTAGCCAAACAAGTGGTGCTATAATTGGTATTTTAAAGGTGTTTACTAAACTCAAGAGGTGTTTGAACTTAATTTATATGGTGAGAGCCCATCAAACCATGAGCTCTCACTCTATTAAAGAAAAAAGTGCTGTTTTTCATGGCAATAATAAGAGCTCTCTCTCTCTCTCTCTCCCTCTCTCTCTCGTAACAATAACAATTCTCTCTATTTTGCTTGCTCATGTCAAATGGCCTTATAAATGATTTGGACTTAAGTTTTGAGCATTTTACAGTCCTTAAAATGGTTTGTAGTCAAAGTTTTGCCTCTGAATAGAACCAAACTATGTACATTAGCATCTGTTATTCATACACAATTAAATGGTGCATGGCATTGGTGGGTTAAATTTTTTGACATATTTACCCATTTACAAAGAAGACGACATGAATTGATGGCGGTGAAATTGTATGCTCTTTGCAGCAAAATGACTGTGTAATGATGTAGATTGTGCATTTGCTCTTTGGAGTGCAAAATCTACTTGAAAACGTTTTTCTTGCTCGAAAATTTCGGATTCATTTTAGAAAACATTAGATGAGTAATTTTAAAAAAATGGGACTTTGGCCTATTGTACACGAGTCTCTAGATGATAATTTTGAAGAAGGAATTTGTCAAATATGTTGCGACTTGACCATAAAAACATTGGGTGGTGTTGATCCTTTTAGGGGTGATGACTTAGTAAATTTCACAAGCACAAATTCCACTTTATATAGGCGATTCTTTGGTACAAGATCAGTTTTAGACCTTGTATGTCAAATTAAATGGGTTGGAGTGTGCTGCGAAGTTTAAGAAAATTTTTTGTTGGGGTTCGAGTTTAGTGGCAAGTATACGACTAGTTGATTTGAAATTTTATGGGACGAGAATAGTTGTGATGTACTAAAATAAATGGCTTTCAGTACATCCCCTCGTACTAAAAGTAAATGGCTTTTTTGAAATTTGATGTAAATGGCTTTTTTAGAAAAAACTTTGCTGCCCTCTTTCCCTCTCTACTGCTCCTCTCTATATTGATGCCTTCTCTCTCTCTCACTACATATGCATTCTCTATTCTTCTCCACCCCATTGTCTCTCTTTGTGTGGCTTTAAAATAAAAATAACCATGATTGGAAGAGAGGGAGAAAGATTAAGAGAGGGTATTCGTAAAAAGAGGGGGCAAGAATAAGAAAGATTAATGTGATATTGTTGGTGAATATTTTTTTTTATATTTTTTTTCTTTTTACCTTTTTATTTTTTATTTTTCTTTTCTTTTGGCAAATATCACTTATAAGTAGTCTTATTACAATAACTATCTCTTTAAAGAGAATAAAACTAACAAATCTAAAATCTTAAAAACCTTAATGTTATTAAATCAATTTTTTTTAAACAAATAAAATATCCACGATTCTTATCTTTGATAATATGAATACAATATAATTAAATATGGTAAGAAACAAAAAGAGAGTGCCGAAGATTACCTCAATCGGGTTTAGTACACTCCACACTGAGTCTCCTCTTTCCAATGGTGTTCGGGATTTATGATCGGCCACTTGATTCTCCTACATATGGCAAAACCCTCTCAATGACATATAGATCTCAATCTAGAACCAACTGCCAAAGGTCTCAATGGCTACAAGCTATTGCTATCCAAAAATCAAATCCCCACAAGCTAACCTTAGCTTGGGTGTCCTATCTCGAAACAACGAGAGAAAGATGATTTGGGTGTACCTTTTTAAAAAAAACTTAAGAAAGTTAGAAGATAAAACTTGGAGTGTGCCTCCCTTTTCGTAATCCAGAGAGAGCGCTAAATTTCGGTAGGGAGAGAGAGAATTCTTAAAGAGAAAGGAGAGAATATATATGTCATTTCATGAAGGGAGAGACCTCCTTTTATAGATTTTCTATGTCTTGGGGTTTGCCTCAATTTGTAGGGTTAAATCTTGATCGTCGATCTAATGAGACTTGTGGGATGAGATATTTACGCCATCCATCTGTTTCATCCACCATCAAGATTCAAAGAGATGAGCTAGAGCTTTATCCTCAATTTTCTAAACCTATTCCCATCAAATCTTTAAATAGAAAAAGTATATATCTTATTTTCTATTTTAATATATCCAATCTTTATTTATTGGATCAAGAATTCAAAGATTTATTAAATAGTTTAATATTTAATAAGTTGGTTATCCCCCAAAGATAAGCCAACAAACAAGAGATAAACATTCTTCCTGAGAAGAATACGTGAATGGTTGGTGCATGCTACCTTTTTAGTGGCCACGTGTGGCCCCACCTAATCTACATGTCTTTAAATTTTGGGCCCCATATTTTTATGGAGGTCACATGTATTTTTAGAAAATATTTTGTTTTATATTTAGAATTTTTAAATCTTATATGTTATTTGAAACATTGAAAAATTAATTTCTTTTAATTTATAAATCCAAATGCCAAAAATAAAATATCAAAAGATTCACAAAAATTCAAATAAACATTCTAAAAAATCATATTTCATAAAATTAATTAAAACTAATTAATTTTTGATGGGAATCGAATCCTTTAGATCTAGAAATTTATCAATATACGGGCGCACTCTACCTTCAATTGCAGACTACGATCTACCTAGCTTTCTTAGACTGACCCAACAGTTCCCATGACTTACAGTCCACTGCAGAGGCTCATGATTAGACCACCAAAATCAGTCAATAGACTAGGGAATGCAATCTTAGTTTATGAATTTCAGGTTTTCCCCTAGAGACAAAAAATCACGGTTCTCCAGACTATGATGCAACCATGACTATATGGTGCATAGTGGTAATCTCTCACACATGTACATGCTTCACCTTCATTGGCGAATCTTAAAACAACTATCTATGTATATGTCATGTGATGATATAACGATGAGGTTTTAGCCTTGTCTCTAAAGGCTATTCATTACACGTAAATGTGACACAGTCCCTTAGCTCTCATCTGAGCATACTCCGACCTCATTAAGAGCTAACCTACTAGGTAGATCCTTATGCCCAGGTACTTTGGGTTTTTTCAAACTCGACTGGCCTAGCACGTCGAGTCTAATCCGAGTGTCGACAAATCGCATTTGTCTAGTATGGTCCACAAGATGATCACACTCCCATTGAATTTATGTTTCACTATATAAAATGTTCATATAAGCTCTCGTGAGGCCTTTAAAGACCACATAAACCGAACAAAGAAATGGTGCTGTAGAGATGATGAGAGAAAGATGGTATAAAGAGATCATGAGAGAGAGAATCAACAGAGAGTGAGAGTAAGCATAGAGATTTTGAGAGCGAGAATGAGAACATATAGAGAGACATATTTTGAGAGCATCAAAAGAGAGAGATTGGGAGACATTGAGAGAGAGGGTAGTACAAAAGAAATTATGAGAGAGAGATTGAGAGAGGTAGGGAGAAAGAGAGAGATTGAGAGTGAGAAGGATAGTGGATAGAAAGAGAGGGAGAATGGAGAGATATTGCCTAAAGGAGAGATTAAGAGAGAAAGATATCAGAGAGAGAGAATTGAGAGACATTGTTCGCCAAACAAACTTGGGCCTTTTTTTACTTAAACATTAATCGCCAGACAAAGTTGGGCCTCTTTTTACATCACCACCTTCCATTTTGTTTTGAACGTTTAGAGTTAAGTTTAAGCTGATAGAGGAGCAAAACTCCAAATTACAATAGAGAAAACAGGAAAAAATAGAGGAAAACTCACTATTTCAGGGATGAATTGCCTCAACTGCCTAACACTACAAAACGTAAACCTTAACGGCTCAGACAACATAAACATTCTAAGTCCAACTAGACCACTCCAAGAGCTTTCTGAGACACCCACCTCAAGCCCCTACTACCCCAAATCCTCTCTAATAACGACGCATACACACATATCCCATCTGCAAAAATCTCATGGGCAA